GGAGATATTTATAAATGAGGAGGATGGATGGAAGGGGAGCAGCGGTGTCACATGGAGATTGCCGATGCCTCTAGCATCTCCTTCATACATGGGCACAGTATCCTGCTTCCTGAGGAAGAATGGAAGTGAGAAACAGCGTGTGCAAGTGGAAACGGCAGTCCCATGAACCAGAGAGGGGGTTGGATTGCTTTATAATAAGCCAGTGGTGGAAAAAAGGAATTGTTCCAGGCAGTTTGATTTATTCTATGAAGAAATGGATGATTTAATGGGCTTAAACTATTAAATAAGAATAAAAGATTGTTGCTTTCTAAAAATATATTATTTAATTATTGTAATACTGCAGAGTTCCTTCCCTTTGCTAGAATCTCTCAAGCAATCAAATCTGTGTTTTACTAGAATGTCACCAGTTAGCCTGCAGTCTCAGTTTTTGAGGGGATTGTGGGTTAGGGAAGGGAGAAAGGAGCAGGAATTGTGGTAATAGCTTTGCATTGGGCTCCAATCCTGTAATCCAGACCCTGCTGCATTTTTGATGCAGATCCTTCATACACTCAGCTGGAGAAAAGTTTCTGCACTGGAGACAAGCCTGATGTGCTGCATCCAAATTTCAAGTAGTGGTAATCAGATAAAGAGAACACAGGGAAAAAAAAAAAAAAAAAAAAAAAAAAAAAAGAACAACCAACCAACCCTTCAAATTCCTTGCAGTGTTTATCTGAGGCTTTTTTTTTTCTTTCCCCCAAGTCATTTGATTATAAAAATAACAATTACAAAAACATTCCTTCCAGATAATTTACTTCATGGATAAACTGGCAGCTAAGTGAAGCACATAACATGCCTGTTCTCAAAAGTAATCAGAAAACAGCAGGTCAATAATGGAGCATTTAGCAACTATCACTCTGGGGCCGTGACACATAGCAGTCAAAATGATTATATTTGCCTCAGTCATTTGCTGTAGAAGAATTAATGTCACTTTGATATATCATCAAAGGAATCATTGTCTCCTCTTTTCTGTTCCATAACTGTTTTTCATAAATATTCTGAATTTATGTCCTATACTTAACTCAATTTGAACCATAGACAGGTTGAAAGAACTCTTCCTGCAGGGAGTAAAACATGCCATCTTTAGTCTCCATCTTGTTTTATATATTCACAATTCTGAAACTAATAGTTGTCAGGGATTATGCATAACCTTAATAGGATAAAATCATCCAGCTGTTTTTAAATTTCAGCCCCAGAATTGAAATACTGCTAACAACACTGGAACTGTTTAGATCAGGCAGCAAAACTATTTAAAGTTATCCAAAGCAAACACTCAAACTGCATCAGTCTTAAATTCTGTTTGTATTTTCCCTTTCTCTGTTCTCCTTCCTCTCTTTGTTCAGAATCTCAACTGTCCCTTGAAGAGGTCACATGGATATGTGCTGCTTATTGTCTAACAATAGACAATTGCTATTAACAATAATAATTATTCACAATATAAAGTAACAATAACAATAGACGTAGGTTCTGAAACTCAGTTCTGTGCAATCCCTTTTCATTTAGTTTGCAATAGAGACGGATTTGCTTTCTAGTTAATTATTTCTAATCTAGCTGGACAGCCTCAGAAAGAAATGAGTCTCCTGAGAGTTCATTCTTGTCCACACTTCTAAAAATAGCAGAAATATTTCGCACATTTGTAAAAGATATGTATTTGCAAATGCAGTAATTGGCACGTAAGGGTTTGTTGAGAGCAGCAAGGCATCTTTTCTCCATCCTCCAAGTGAAAAAGGTTCCAGTCTGAAACTAGCAAAGGAATTCTTTCTAAAAGCCAGCAGCTAGAAGCACCCAGTCCCCCAAAGCATGTATAGCTTGACAGTAGGCACCCACCAGTGCCCAAATTTCCTAATCACTCACTCATAGAGCAGAGCCTTGGAGGTTACTTCTGTAGCTCCTCCTTTCAGCTGTACCTCAATACAGTGCAAATTTATGAACTTAGCATCAACCTAATTACAACATTAAATTAACTTGTAAGTAAAAATTAAACATTTGGTTTAGCAAGCTATCTAATCAGGTTTCTAATTGCAAGATCAAAACCAAAGTAACTCCCCTTCTAAGTTTAAGAGTCAGATTAATAATTAGACTTTCTCACTTAAAGTCCCTGCATCATGCCCCAGCCACTAAAACAAGGGTTTGAACATTAAAGCAGTATCTTATTCTCTAAATGGTACCCCCACCTCTGGATGACTTCTTTTGGCTTCAGCGTTGAAAGGAATTGCTCTCCTACTTCCTCCTCCTTTTCAACAGCAGGAAGCCAGCAACGATTAGCTCAAGGTTTGATGCAGCATTTCTTGGGACATTACCCGTGTCTCACCTTCCTGATAGGAAGTCTTTTGTATTGCAGTTTTAATGAGATTGTCCTCCGCAAACAGCACAGTATACATTTTTAAATGCTCTCCTCGCATCACAATATTTCACATACTACACACCAGAAAACATCACTTGTACAATCATTCTGTTAAGTTCATTATCTTAAGTGTGTCATTTGCTTTACACATTATTAACACAGCTGTAGACCAAGCAGTCATATCCTGCTGTTTGCTGTCAAATTTAGAGGCTTGCTGTGTAAAGGATACCATTCTTTAAAGCAGATGTAATAGCTGGACCCAGATTTTAGACAACAAACATCACAACACTCTGATTTCCATTTCTGTTGTCATGCATCCAATCACTCCTGGCTTTTCACACTACCATTCCAGAGAAGAGTATTCCAGAAATTATTCTTAATGCCTGCTGAACTTTTTTCTTATAACGTCATGCAATTTCAGGCCCTCGAGGTGGCCAAATTAATGAAATCTGTACTATTTCACAGGCAAAACAGATTTGTGAAACTAGTCTGTATTGAACCACTGGAAGTCTAGTGCATGTGTTTGCATCCAATTTCTCAACAGCCTTCATATTTTACAACTGAAAGCCCTTAAGCCTTTCAGCAAGCTTCAGTCTGTCATTCACATCCTCTTCTAAATCATTAATGCACGTTGAAATAACACTACTGAGCCTTTAAGATCCTTGCTCTTTATTTATAGTGGAACTTCAGTGGAAAGGTATGATTTTTCCTTTCCAGCAGTATCAAGTACTTGACTTGATAAGATTGTTTTATTTATCCAGTTGTTGGCGGACCTTCAGAATCAGTTTTCCTTGAAATGAGGCTCAACTTAATTCTTTGGATGTCCCACAGACCCTCTAGAGAGGATTTACTATCTTAGGAAAAGAGTTTCCGAGCTATCTTGAATATTCTGGGGAATATCTCAGCTGGCTAATGCCTTCTTCCAGAATTCTCTAATAAATATAGATCAAAATTTAGACAAATATTCCAGACAAGCATTGGAATTATTCCCAATGGTATATTTAACATTTTTGTTCTAGATTCAACAGTTTGAGGCAAGACATTATCTCTATTTTCCCTTGAATACCATTTCATAGTCTACCAGCTCCATCAAGATATACTTTAAGAAAACTGCATTTCAGTCAGAAATCTAATCTCATCCCAATATTTCCAGTTCTGTTTCCTTGTACCTCAACTCCCATAGGCAGTTATAATGTCACTAAGAGACTGTTTTGCCTACCTTCTGCATTTGTAGACCAATTTTTCTTTACAAGTCTACTTAATCCTGCTCTTGAACACCTCCTCAGGTGTTCACCTCCCTTCTACACACTTTGACTGAAATGTGTTTGAGATGTTGTTTCATCAGTTTAGGTAAAGATCACCTCCTGATTCAAATTCTTTGAGAATCACTCTGCTCTTTGGTTTCGATAATGTATTGCATTTCAAATTCAGACAGAAATTTCTTACTGCTACCACTCCCACTTGTCTCTTTCAGTTAAAGAAAAAATTCACATTCAAAAATTGTCTCTATCACCTAAAGAAAAAAAACTGTACAACAGAGTAACAGACATCAATGTGACATAGTACGACATCTTCCCAGTCTAAAATTAAACTTACTACCATAGGTTTAAGTTCGTAATTACTATAAACTCAGATAGGCCTTACTGAAGACACCTGACAAAAATAGTTCAGAATCTGTCCCCTAGCTACTACGGTCCGTGACTGGACGTGTGTTTTTTTTTCTGATTATCAAATTAATTTTAATCATTAAACACAGGCAGAATATGTAATAAGTATCTGCAGTACATACTGAAAGCCACAGTTCAGTACTTTGGGTTTTCAAACTTGTCATCACATTTTCAAGTCTAAGCATTCAGCTTTTGGATCTGAACCTTCCAATCCCTTTGTTTTGACTCTTTTGCATTTATCACACAAAATTTTTCTCTTTTTATTTTTTACTGGTTATAAAAAAATGCACAAACATTTTAAACACTGCAGAGCTAACAAAAACAATGGATTACATTTTATCTGTAACCAGAAACTCAATCTAAATCAAGGCAGAAGTCCTTTTGCCTGGAATTTCCTTACCATCTCCGCCTCATCTTCTAAAGGCTGCTGAAAATTTACTGTATATTATTGAGGCCAGTACATTTAAAACAATTTTTCTCATGATTTATGTGCTATATTTTGCCTTAGCTCTGCTAGAGGGAATAGCTGATTTTTCTGGGCACCAGGCCCAGATTATGTTTAATTTCGTCTACGGATCATACAGTTTCCCAGATACTATACCAGAGATGAACATTTTATAAGTTAATAAAACAATAAATAAAATAAAGCATGTTCTCATGTCTCCAACTAATAACTGGAACCTTAAAAGCCTTGCTCTGTTTTATAGAAGTTTTTCTATATTGCAGTTAGTGACTAAAAATATATCAAATTATTCTCAAATGATAAAAAGTAAGGTAAATAATTTATAGGAAACAGTTCAGATTTAACCTTTGATTTCTTAAACAAATAGCTAAAATAAGTTCCACTATCAAAGGCATTACGTACTACTTGTATTAATGAGGATTCAGTTTGGCTTCCACTACTATAGTTCATATAATCACATTGTATTTTTAGAATAAAAAGAAGAACTTACTGTGTATTCTGATTTCCAATTGTTTCCAATTGTCCATTTGTGAAAAAAAAAAGAATGGTGAGAGAAAAGAAAAAAAAGAAATGTCAATTAAAACAATGATGCAAGATTCCTGCAGTAAACATACATTAATCAACAAAGAAACTTCTGTCAGTTAATCTACTGAATTTTATTTGACTAATGTCTATGGAACAATAGAAGGTACAAGTCCGCACGGAATCTAAGCATCTGATGTTTTCTTTGCAAGAAAGAAATCACATAAGATAGAAGATTCCAGTTTTTAACCAGCCATAGTCTATAATCTTTGTATCCGTCACTCAGTATGTACCTTAGAACTTCTGAAGACAAGCTGAACTATCCCAAAAGTACATGTTATTAATCATTCCTTACCTGTGATTGTATAAGGATAATAATTCCATGCCTTCTCTGTAACATAAAATATTTTGGGAACAACTGCTCTAGCCCAGCTGGGTAGTTTGCTGAAAATAAAAAGAAAACAAGATTAGAATATGTTGTAACTGTAGAAAAGAAGATACTTCCAAACATGCTTATAATCTGTGTTTCACAGGGCACAGTAATACCTAGACTTCACAATATTTCCATCAAATATGCATTCTTCCTTAGGTTTCTCCATGAGTGTACACGATGCCACGGCAGTTTGTTCGCCTCTCAGAACAAGCAATATGGTGCCAGTGACCCCTGATCAGATCTAACTTCAGGTACCAATGCAGGTTTCAAGAATTTGCCTCCAGCCTTTGGTCACGGAGGACCCAGCAGGTTAGACCTTGCGAGATGTGTCCGTGTCACAGTACCCATAGCCACAGGGAGGCACTCTTTAATCAGAGTGACTAATGGTGCTGGTCCATTTCCATCTTGACTCCATTATTTGTTCTTACAGACTGTTTCTTCTTCCTCCACAGTCTTTGCTGGCACACAGACCCTTATGTTCAACTCACCTCGTGTACACTTTTTCCCCATGCTGCCAACACCAACTCTCAACTATGAAGCTTTTATGTTAAAATTAGCAAATCACTCAGAACACCTCTGTGACGCTGGCAGGTGGTATCAGTCCCGTTTTGCTGATGGGGACTGCAAGAGCGAAGAGAATTAATGGAACTGATGTCATAACTCAGAGCTCAGTCTGTCAAGAGATCTTATCAATGCCGTGGTACTACAGCAGGGGAATAAGAAATGAAAGACATGGAGATGGATGCAGCACATAAAAAGATCATTAAAGGGTAATTAAATAATACTCTGGAAAATCAGGAGCATTTTATTTACCATGCATCTCAGGTGTCTCATTTCCAGAATTCTAGTCACTTAGGGTACCCAGTAAGTGATGAACAAACATGCACTTTAAAGAGAAGGCAAGTTCAAGCAAATACACCATCCGAGCCTTTCCTAATGACATCAATTACGATCACTTAACCTGTCAGTAACAAAGATCCAGCACTAGCCACTCAAAAAAGGCAGACCATTGGAGACTGCAAATCTCATTTTACTTCAGGGACTCAATTAAAATTGTGTTAGTCTGGCGACGTGTCGAGAGATCACCCAGGCTAAGACCGAACCTTTACTGAACCAAAGCAGACAATTTCAAACCTCAATTTTCCAACTGTAAATGTTTCAAACAGCTATGCTCAGATAACCGTGTGTGCTGAAAGTAAAATAACTTTCCATGTTAGCAAACTTCTGGGGAAAATACAGAGTTTGGATCATGAAGGTTTGTTTAACCATGATTTAGCTACACATAAATATTGTATTTGTCCAGAGGCGATATGCAGACGTTAGCACATTATCTAAAGATTCAAAGTCAAGTGCATTGACTTTTGCTCTTTGATGACATTGCTCAAAACCACATTTTCTTTCTTCTCTACAGTCTTTTCAGCAGCATTTTAAATACTGCATAATAGGCTTCATTGTACCAGGTCTTTTGGTTATTTTGTCAGTCTTTTGTCAGTATCTTTTTATGACCATTGCTTTGCTGACTCCCTTACCCCTGCTAAACTTCACTCTAATTCTTAAATAATAAATTCAGACTTTCAAATTTCTGGAAACAACGCTCCAGCAGGAATGGAGAGGCAGTAAACAATTCTGAATAGAACTAAGGCTGACAATGACACTAGACAACTGTACAAGTAAGGTCTTTGCTAATATACTGCTACTCATTTTGTGCTTTTATATTTTTAAATTTTTTATTTTGGTGGCACAGATATCCATGGATCACATTCTCATTGTTTATTTCTTCCTTCCCCAAATGAAGTTCAGTCTCTCAGCACGTAAAAAGTGCTTCTTAAAGGCATTCCAGCCAAACCCAGTGTAAGAATTAAAATATTAGCAGACAAGAAAAGATAAATGAAAATAATGCATACATCTTTCCAAGAAACCATCACTGAAATACAAAAGTTCAGATTTCCTCAGGGAAATCAAAAAAACACTAGGAGCATTATAGCTACAGAAGCTTTTGGCTGTGAAATTGTGATGCTTTTAGCTCTGAAACTGCAGCTTGCTGCTTGTCTTGAACAACAGTGGAGGCATAAATACCACAAATATAGCTAGATCTATGTAGGCACTGAAGATAGCATCTCATTTGTTCACGAGCATGTTGCAAAGCACAGAGGACAACGCCTATGATTGTGTGAAGCTGCCCAAACCCCTGTGTTGCTGGTTTCTTTGGAGGGATCACAACTTAGGGCAGACTGGTGTGAGAAGGTGTCCTGTGCTGAATGGCTGCAAAAACAAATCAGACCACCTGAAAAATATGGAGGCAAAATTTTGAAGACCAATTGCTTGCACATCATTTAAGATGTGCAGCAGTGTAAGAACGGGATATTTGGGCCAAGATCAGCAGTGCAAGCAGAAAAGGATGCCTGTTCCTGCCAATTCAAAGCCAAAACCATCAAGCCAATACACAGTTTCTGCATCTTTTCATCCCTGAATTTAACCATGACAAGAAAAGTAATTTAATTTACACTAATGACTGGAAAAGAAAAGTGGGGAATAAAGGGAATCAAAGATTATTAACACCGGAAAGAAAGATGGAGGGAAAACTGTACGCTGTAATACCTAGTATCTCTGCTTCTTATCTCATTGGGGCTGGGGTAGATTTGGCAAAGCATTGCAGATTCCTTGAGTCCTCCTTGCCTTATTGACCCTGACACTGTTCTGGGGTTCTTTTACGAAAGAATCATGCAGTGTTCAATATCTCTTGTGGGAAAGGCTGTTATCCAGTCCAGTGGAGTAGCAGGAAAGCTACGACAACTCATATTTTCCATTGGACTTGTTTCCCAGAAAGTACTTTTGGTTGGACTTCTGTGGCACAAGGGCAACTTGTAGCAGGAAGGGCAGGTAACACCTTATCTCTGAATGCATTGTGTTAGCCTTATAAAAACTAAGTTTTTTTTTTTTTTTTTTTAGTTAGGTATCCCCAAAATGGCTATTTAAATAGTGTAGTTTCCATGCTGTAAGCATGATGGATACCACTACAGAAGCAGCCGTGTGGCTATTTGTAGCCATACACGTAGCTCTCATCTACAGAGGCATTACAGCAATGGTAATACAGTGAAATAAGTACTTGACCGAAGCTCCTGTACAGCGGTACAGGAAGCGGTTTAACTTAAATACCATAAACTCACGCTTAACAAAGGCTCTTGTAAGGTAGTCCCTTACGAGGGAACTGAGTTTGGAGTCAAGCAATGAGGTGTTACAAGGTCTTATCTGTAAATCATCATCAACTGGATCAATCCTAATCCCTCCAAAGTCAAGGGCCATGCTACCAGTCTGAAAACAATTAAAGCATCCCTCTTAACGCAGAGGAAACCCATTGGATTTCCTCATTAAAAAAAAAAATAAACCGAAACCACAACCGTTATAAATTCAGACTTAAGTTTCTGCCAAACCACAGTGTCATAGAAGCATATAGAGGTTTCTATTTCACTAATACAGACCTAAGTAAATGGAAAAATCAAGACTTTCCAAAACAAGTTTTAATTTTAAACTCTTTTGCAGTTATCTGACTGGGGGGGGGGAGTGTGGAAACTGAGCTTTATGCAGCCTGTTTATATGTAGTTGCACAGAAGTTATTACTTTTGATTGTTCATTTAATAACATTTTAAAAATCATAAATAGACTATGCTTAGATCTCATAAGAGTGTGCAGTAAGGAGAAAACACAGACTGTCCTTAAAAGATATGCATAATGATGACATATAATTGCGTTTGTTATCTTAGGACACAGATAGTCTCAAAGAGAGTGCGTGAGGGACAGAGTTGCCTATCTCCACATTCAGCTACAGGACTCCACATACTCTCCACACACAGCTACAGTCCACAGAACAGGACTGGTACAGGAGGAAGAGGTGCCTGTCATTAAACCTGACTTCAAACATCCATAGTAGATGAATTTCCCAAATTTGTGGGAAATTTGAAGGCATGTGAATCTTCTTTCTCAATGTTCAGACCCATCTTTGGGTCTGGGATCCTCTGGTGCATTGCCTGCCCTGCCAGAAGCAGTATGCTTCCCAGGTATGTCTTATTCTGACTTACTCTGAAGTGGTGATTCTGAGCATGATCTTCAAGTGCCTAATTCCTTACTTCTTCATAATAGGAAGAAAAGAAATATCCAGAAACATAAACAAAATTTCTGGGAGCTCTACGACAAGAACAAATTTATTGATTTTTACTGTCTTATACATAGCCTGTGAGAAAAAAAAGAACTACACTCACAGTAATATTGAATGCTGGCAAAATATATTATCAGAATGTATGTGTGTACGAGTGCAATGTTACTGGTGATTCAATTTAGCCTGAGTTAAGGTTAGATATGTCAGGATTGCAATGGAGGAGTAACTTGCAATGTAGAAGCAAGAGCTATAGTGTTCCTATGCCCACAATCAAAGGCTGCAGAGCATAAAAAGTGTAATAAAAATGAGGCAGGCCAAGGGGAATAAAAGAACATCAGAAAAGCAGCAATATTCAATTAGATCAGCAATAATAAAAGTGGCAGCAGATTGAGCAATATATTTCACAGGATGCAGACATATATATTTAAATAAATATAAATATAAAAAAATCTCAGTCCTTTGAGTGTAGAGACATTGATTCACAGCAGTATAATTTCACCATAGGAAGAGACACATATTTCACTTTAAGAAATGATGGAACTTTTGTGGTAACAAAAGCATTTTTTTTCCCCATCATGTCTTCCAGCCTGTCATTTTAGTACAGCAGTTCATAATTGTGCAAGACTAATGCTACTTCATAATGTCAATTCACTTTGCTGTGGCAAATCTTTTATCACCAAAAATGGGGCACTGGTTTTGCAAAAATATTGTGAAGTGAGAAACTGACTATATCAAGACCCAGAAGGTTAATTGCTACCCTAAGACATAACATTAATTATCAGCTAAAAAAGCTGTTTAGAGTTTCCTTAATTTTAATGCACCTCTCCTATGTTCAATCTACATGCAGTGGATGATGAGCTAGGAATTCTGTAAAAACAAGACAAAACAAATTTTTTCCTTTTGAAAGAAAGTAAGTCTTCTTTAAAAAGAAAAATCCTAATACTTTAGAGTGTTTCATGTTAATGCCTTCAAAGGCTCTTATGATGTGCTATAAACATTAATGTATTACTTTTTGAATGCTTAAAACCATTCTGATTTTAGTGTCAAGATAAAAATAGAATCCCCAAATGATTAAGGGATGCAAGCCTGACTAACTGTTTAAGTCTTAAATGGGATGTAGGTATGGCAATGATTCAGGTTAAGTGAAATTTAATGGAATCAACATTAGTAGTGTTTACTCTAGAAATTATAGAGTATTATGCTCACTTAAAGTCAAGTAGCAAATATGTAATAAAGTCAGAGTGGAATCCGTGGGCCCATAAAACCCTTAAACCATTTTAGTTTTTTGTTTGTTTTGGGTTGGTAATTTTGGAAAACAGAATGACAAACAGTTAAGTGGAAGAAAACAGAAGTTCTGATTTTCAGTACATCTCAAACTTCAAGTTAGAATTCTTTCTCTTTGAAAAGGTACTCTAGAAGAAAGATCGACTGATCTCAGTTTCAAGCATGGGTCTATCCTCAATCTCTTAGGAAGCCGCACTTGTTCATGAGAACCTATTCTGCTTGAAAAAGAAAGGCTACGGCCTGAGACGGATATTCATGACAAATTTTTATTACTGCCCATGCTAAGAGAAGCAGTTCTATGCACTTGCCTGTTGAGATAGACCCGTTTTTCTGTTAGCTGGCCATTGCCATGATTCGGATCTTCATAGGGCTCATTCTGCACCACTTCCACACCTTCACCTCGGTCACTCTGCTCATGGCTGTGCTTGCTTATCATGTACAACTGTCCAATTCTGTACTGCAAAGCAAAATCAAGAACAATGTGTTAGCTTTATCTAATACACGAGTATTCATAAATCAATGTCATACAATGATATATCAGTATGTGCAAATAAAAGGTACTTCAAGGGATGAAAAGCAGTTTTTTGAAGCGTCATTCAGACTTATGAGCCAGGGTCCTCCCATTATCTAATCAAATCCAGGGTACCACTTGTAGAAAAAATAGGAAAAGTACTAAATACTAAGTACTTTTCCAAGTACTTAGAAAAAGAAGTTTTAGAAGAGTGATTTGGCAATATTATTAACATAAGTCTGAGCACATAAATCTGTTTTATATAGATTTTCAAGTTACTTAGGAAGCCAAAACCCAGGAGCTGCAATTACAGAGAAGTAAATTGTTGCAATGTCAATTAACTTTTTTTTTTTTTCCCCAGTATGTCTGCATCTACACTTGGGCTTTTGTCTCCAGAGCAATGTAACAAAAATACATCTCTAAATCTTCATTAGCAAAGTATTTAGATTAAATTTTACTTTCCCATACATTTTCTGTTTTCAGATTTTACTCTTATTGAAGTTCCTTCCACATTCTTGAACATACCATGGTTCTTACAACAAACTGTCTTTGGACCTAACCAGTTTTCTCCATTTGGATCCACCTCTCTCCCAAAGTAATTTATTTAGGCATATACATGCCAATCACTTCAATTACGTCAATCACTTTAAACACAAAGGATAGCCTGTGAATTTAGAGAATGGCTCGGCTACTACACAAAGTTGCCATGTACTAGCTCAGCACAGACAAACAAAAATGCAGTGACAGTCTGACCTCAGAAAATGGTGAGATTCTTATGATTATCACATATAAACAGCAATCCTACAATGTACTTTACACTAAAACCCCAAATACAAAGAGATTAAAAAAAAAGAGCTAAACAAAAAAAGCCAAACCACGAGACCTTATTAACAACTATCAACAAGGTGGCCTTGCTAAACAAATCAATAAGAAGTAGGGCTGGGATTTCCTTCATGGCACTCAGTGGACAGAATAGCATAGAGTTCCTGCTCCTTTCTGGCCAGCCACATACTACAACAGTGAAGCAAATGATTGATATCAACCAAGTGCCTTTCAGCTGATAATTCTGAGGCACTAAAAATGCCTCAAGTTTATAGAAAGTTCTTTAAGAATAAAAGGGTGCCCTAGGGTAGGAGTGATACACCTTGGATCTCTAGGCTAATTCGGTAATTTCAGTGGATTCCTTTTTCATTGCTTTTCCTCAAAAACCTCCTCTCACTGAAGAACACAACCCACTCTTAAAACTTGTTAGAACTAGTAAAGATGAAAAAACAGCAAAGAAGAAAAATAAAGATACCGTTGTCACAAAACTGGAGTGTCATACCAGTCAAGCCAATTACTTGTGAAATTGTGACCCTTGCAAAGTTTGAAAATCAGTAAATCTCGGCATTCCTGCTGGCTATGCAACTTAGAGCTGCCCAGAAATTTCAGTTATGCATCTAATGTTTCTTCCTCTCCTTTCTCCTCATAATTAGAGAGAATTGATGACTTTTTGTTATTTGAATGATTGTTCTTTCTCTTTATAGCCTACATAACTCTGGAGAACCTACTCTAGATAAATCAGTGTATAGAAACATTCCTAAGATATCCACTAAAACAGCAGGTAGAATAATGCTATTTAAACTATTTGATGTCCTGCCTATAACTTCAGCTTCTTCATCTCTCGTATCTCTTTCAAACAAGATGTACCCATTCAATAGATGAGCACTAGAATGTTTTTTCTTGCTAATCTAGTTATCTTCCTCAGTCTCTACTGAATTCCTTGCTTCTCTATCTCATCATATTTTAAACATTTTGTTCTAAGCTTCAAGGCTCTGAAGAGCTGTCACCCTCATCACACACTTGAACCGGTTTCATGAAAATCTGCCTTCTCCACTTCACTAATAATAAATGAACGCACTGGTACGCAGCTAAGGCAAAGTTTGTAGACAGAGCAAATACATTTTATTTGACCAGCTAGTACTGCTGGAAAAGGGAGAACTTTCAGGCACTTGAAGCTGTTCTTCAGTTCCAAAATCAAAGCAACATACTTCAAAGCTGAATAAAAGCTGAGGAAAAAATGCCCTGCTTTAATTAGATATGTATCAATCAGACCACCTGAGAGTAAAGATACTGCCTGAGGAGTGATAAGGATGTTAGAAAAGAGGAGAGGTGATAAGGTGCTTATCTTCTAATGGAAAGAAAGAGATCAGTAATTTATAGCTTGTGAAACATGAAAAGGTTAGCTAAGGAAAGGGGGAGAGCAATTAAAATTTGCCATGAAGCCAACATCACTACTGAGATGTCTATTGAGATTTTTTTTTCCCCTTCCACTTTTAGTCCCCATAGACACATGGACAACTCACAGGAAACTCTGGAAAGCACTTCACAACTGCATCACTGCATGCTTCGATTTCCTACTTCCACTCAGTCCTTTGCAATTTTAGTCTCAGTTTTAATGGTCAAATACAGATATCTCACATGGGGTTGTACAAAGGCATTCACTTGCTCCAGAGTCATGAATCAGATACCCACCTATAACAACATGTTTTGCTAGGAGAGTGATTGTTGTTCTTTCTTGGACCCATACTACCATAAACTGCAAGCAAAATATCAAATCACAACACCTGTAAATCACTCTGAGCACATGGTTGAGAATGGCTAAGCTACATACCTGCTGCACTGTTCAGAAGATAATCAGCAGTATCATGTAGAAATTACCTTACAGATGTTGCACAGTCAGTGCTTATAGAAAAGTTCTACTTGATGAGACTCAGAATTGCATGTATTCCACTTACCCCTCAGATCTCACAGAATGTATCAAAGGCAGCCCAGCTTGGCACTTGGGAGATGCTGAAGAGAACTGAAGGCACCGTAACTGGTGCTGGACAGCTCTTCGGCAGCAATCTTACAGCTACTCGCCTCTTCCCAGGGGATAACTTTGGATTTGACACCAATCAAGTGAAAATATCTTCCCTTCAGTGCTATTGAAATAACTGTGCAGTCCTGCCAGCAAGTAGCTGCATTCTGTGAAAGCTGCACACTTTTACATGCATTTTAAAGAAGCTAACTTAGCTCCTCTGTTTGCCATTTATTTGTTGTTATCTAGTTCATAACCTTTTAATCTAATTCTAGACCAAGATCAAAAAAGATTGGACCTAGTAATAATTCTATTATTTTACCAAGCCAAAGAATACAGAAGTATAATTTCATATAAAATCTTCTTTTAACAAGTGTATGTTTGTATTTACATGGATAAAAACCAAAGCAAAGATGCGTATTTTAGAACTTGCTGAAATTTAAAGGCCTGAAAAAGCCTTCACAGCTTTTTCTAAGTTCCTATCAATGTTGTAGAGAAATAAACACTAAGAAACATTTTATAGCAGTAATCAGGAGTCACCATCCCTGCCAGGATAAACTGATACACCACTATTATTTATGTTGCTCTAGTCACTATGTGAATTTCGATGTGCCTAGCTGCAAAAGAGTCTTCCAGGACCACATACGGTGTCAGGGAAGTCAGTACAACTTCATGCAGTGGCACCTGACCTGTATTTGGCTTGGGAGAAAAGCTCTTCATCTGAGAGCTCTTCAGCTTAATGGAGGAAAATTTCTTCGGTGTCAGAGGCAGAGCTTCAACAAACAAATGCACTGAATATGGAGTTGGAGTTTTCTAAGGATATTGCTATGGAGCTTTTGTACTATACTTGGTGTTTAACTCCTAACGAGGTAGACGTTGGCTCACCAGTGACTTCTCTTTTTCTTCAGCTGGCAGATGGTGTTTGCCTACTGGGAGTTTAATCACACAAGAAACAAGGCTTATGTCAACAACAGCGTAATGATGGTCAATCAGATTTTGTTTAAACTTGTAAGTGAGAGTAGAATCACTTTTGTGGGGTTCTTGAGACAGAAGAAATAAGAGGTCCACTCTACACATCTTTCATTTGTAAAACTTCCATTGTCTTCAACAGAAGATGAATGAGAATCCCTGTACAAACGTGGCCATTTTTTCCTTTCTTTTTCCACACCACAGCCTTTAGTTCTGTCAGACTGTTTTGTTAGCAGCCTAATGAGAAGAACAAATTAGGCTATAAATGAAACTTGCTCTCAGCGTTTATTATGATGTGTTTTAGCTCTATGACAAGTCTTGTGTGAAATCAAGTAAATTCTTCAAAGCTTGATCTAGTCTCCCTTAATGTATTTGAGGAGAATACTTTCACCATTTCTAATTTAATGGGGCTCCTCCCCTGCAGGTTTGCCAAGGAAAACTGACTGACCATTACTCAGGTTTTGATCTAATGCTAGTCTTTCAACAGAGCCTCTGATACAGCTTTTCAAATGTTATGTGGACGGCAGAAAGTATCATTCTCTCAAAGGATAAATTACTACAAAGCTATCCATAATCTGATTTTTTATACCATTCCTTTAAATTCTTAACTGAACGCTCACAGAAAACGTAGCAGATGTAACACTGGCTTCATCTTATATGGCAATTATTGTATTCAACAGAATCGTTGAACTCTTTCATCTGCACTTTTCTATAACTGGACTAAAGCATCAGGGATGGTGCTGCCAATTCAATTTATGCGACTTATTGTTCCAAGCCAGGAGGAAGATCCCTCCCTGTAGTTAAAAACCAGAGCCCAGGAGATGCAGAGTGCCTTTTATACTTATTTAAGGTAATGATTGTTCAGAGCACTGTATTTTGACAATGGAAAATATTTCTCAGTGATTCATGCTAAAACACACCAGTGGCTTCCTGGCCTGTCCTCTGAAAACTACAAAGGTAAAACAGAAAAAAGTGAGACCAGCAGTAACAGCTAAACTGAAAGAGACGTGTTCATGCACACGTATGCTCCTTTCAGAGGTAGCTGTCAGTGGTGGAATCATGCCTCCATTGATAGCAACAGGCATTTTGTCATTGACCTTAATTCAGCAAAGATTTACATCTTGCAACAAAATGTAAT